ACTTTCAGACCTCTCGTTGACACCCTGTCTACCTTCACCCTGATGCCCAAAAACCTCATCACCAATTAGGTTAGGCATATCCCCGGACCTTCCGAACCCACCCGGATGCGGCTCATGCGGCTCAAGCCTTGAGGATTGCCATCCCTGCCCTGCTCCAGCAGCTTCGTGAACCAGCTGAGGCGTCAATGCCACATTTCGACCCGATCCACTACGACTATCAGCCCGAAAGTTACCCACATCCGATACACCGCTGCGCACGTGCCCAAATCCAGGGCCTTGCTCCACACGAAAACCACTATTTCCAGCAGGATTGATGCTTTGCTCTCCCTCACGAGCTCCACTAGGACCCCTCATAAGAAAGCCAGGCCAAATCCCAACCGGAACATCCGATGGAGGTCTGACGCTGCAATCACGACCAACCTTCGGCACAGATGCCGAAAGACCTGAAATCCAATGGTCTGACTGTCCAGCTGACGGCTCATACCTACCTGCCTCCAAACCAATACCAGCGAAAGGATCCCCAACCAGACCAGAAGCAACCCTTCTAGTAGGTAAGTTGTCTGACGTAGCACTACCTCGAATCTCATCCCCAGGCCCACTCCTGTACATCGGGACTTTCCCCGCAAGAAGGCTAGGGTCAGCTACTGACTGCATAGTGCTTGTAAATCGCGTACGAGCTTCAGCTTCCTCCAGCCGTCTGATCAAACCCAGCAGCATAGGATCACTTCTTCCCTCTTGCGCGAAGATTCCATACAAGTCACTCGCAGGCGGATTCCTAATTTGATGGTCTATCTGAAATCCAAAAGGATGTACTGTTTCCGTACTCGCCACCGCAGCGCTCGCTGCACTCCGCTGAATTCCAGATGATGCGTTCTCAATATTCTGTGATGGACACCCTCGAACGCCAGAGCTCATAGCGCTGCCAGGTTGGGTCCAAGTCGCCATCGGCGGAGTGGACCCCGGTGCGGACACCCCATCAGCAGAGGAGGCCGGATCTGGCCCAAACCTTGGATTTTGGCTCCAAAGCTGGACTTTGGGCCCGAAGTGGCTGGTTTTGGGCCTGATCTGGCCCAAACCCTGGTTTCGGGCTCCAAATCCTGACTTTGGGCCAGAAGTGGCTTGTGTCTCCTGGGAAAACGGTTGTTGCGCCCCAACAGTCCCTGAACCGTAACTTCCAGTGCCAAGGTGTGTCTCATCAATGTCCTGAAACCTCTCGCTCGAACCCGCTGCAGAATCGTCAGTGGCTAGATTGAAATACTCAGGCTCACGATGTCCTAAGCTTCCCCGCTCACCCGACATCCTCAACGGATCTGTTGTGCCACGATTTTCTGATGCCACAAAGCCATGCCTCGGACTCGGCACTGAGCCACTCATCAAGCCTCGTTCCTCCGAATCCCTAGATCTCTGGTCACCCTGCCCAGATTCTCCCGATTGCAGGCTAGGCAAATCAGATGGCCTCATTTGTTGCAGCCGATGCTCATCATTGGCTCTCTGCGACCACCAGATATTAGCCACTGGTCCGTATTCCCTTTCAGCGGGTGGCAGATCATCCAAATTCGGATTCACCAAAGGCTGTGGCCCTTGAACCATAGCTTCTTCCTGAGAGGCTCGTTCCACTCCAGGATTCTCAGATGACGCCATACTCCCACAGCACACCGAGTTATGCTCCCAGATGTAAGAATCAAGACTGCTCTTCAGCTATGGCCGCTTGGGCTCATAACCTCTGAGCGAGGTCCATGGCTTTCAAAGGTTGGCACGACTATTTTGGCTCCACAAGACGGCCGAAACGGAAAAGAAGTTGGGTTCGCTCACTGGTCGTTGCCAGTGTTGTAAGAAATGATCTTCGCTACAGTCGGATGTTGTAAACTACTCTTGCAGATCTGATCAAGAGGGCCTGAGCAAGATAAGAAGTTCGAAAAAGAGACCCTCCCTGAAACCTAACTGCCGGGGTCTCTGGAGCCACACTCTGGGTCCACGCATCTGACCTCAGCGCTCGCAAAGTAGAACTGGTTGCGAAGCTCTCCCTTACGATCAAGAGGGGTCTTGCCATTGATGCCCTCCAGCGCCTTAAGCAATTTGTTGATCCCTGACAAAGCGTCTTCAGGGATCACAACAATCTCGACCCCCTCGGGGTCCTTGGCTCGGACCTCCTTTTGGTACTCCAGGTCCTTGGGCGTGAACTCCTCGCCCCGCTGGCGCCCTGACTGCCTCAGGAGCCACCGCGCCGCCAAGTTGTACTTCTTCGTTCCCTCCAAGTCCAGGCTGCTAAGCCACCATGACATCTCGCGCTCAAAAGCGCGCCAAGTCTCAGGACTGCCGTTCCACGTCGGCACCTTGTACCAAGCTGAAGCCGTCTTGTCATCGTCCGCCATGTCTGCAAAAAGGCCCCAGCCAAAACTCCTGGCAGTTCCTCAAGAAAAGAAGCGGTGGCCTAGTCACCACCAAAGGAAGCGCTCGAGGGCGCCAGCAAAGGAGCAGCTAGTCCTGCTCAAAGGTCAGAGGCCGGCTGCCTCCACAAGAACCGGATCAGTCCGGACAGCCCTCAAAGTAATCCTGCGTGGGGCCCTCGACCAAAGAAGCTGGCAGCAGCCAGACAGTCAAGCCCAAAAGAAGAAGAGGCCGAAGAAGCCAGAGCAGTCCGGACAGCCAGTAAGTACTCAGGCCCACCTGCCCGAAGAAGGCGTCGCAGACGCACAGCAGGTATCCAATGGCCTCGGAGAAGGCCGGCTCTAGCTGCAGATTCACAGCCAGCCGCCTCAGATCAAAGAGCGGCCCCCAGCGAACTCGCCGTTCAGAAGGCCACCCCGGGAGGGCACAATGATGTAGCACTGGCCCCAGCAAAGAGGGGAAATCAGGTAAAAGAAGAGTTCGAGAACCAGAAAAGCAGCAAGCGGAATGGCGCAGTCGGTAACTCAGGCTCCGGTGCCACTAAGGAAGCTAGGCACACTAGGTTCCTACAGGCGCTCTGTTTTCCTGCCAAAAGCCAAGCTTTGGGTCAAGGCCTGAAAAGCGACGGCAGGCACAAGCAAGCTCACACACGATCAGGCCGCACCGCTCTGAGAATCTACTCTGTCACTTATCTTCGGCTACAGTACCGAATGTTGTGTCGAGGCCACATTGGACATGCAGAGCATGGTGGCAGAGTGGGAGCATTCGTCCGTCATCCTTCGAGACTGTATTGATAACTGCGATTTGTTTTTCTGCAAACCATGTGCTTTCGGTCCCCAAGTGACGCGAGCACCCGGCCCTGACAACTCTCCCCCACCGGCCCCTCGCCAGAACCACCCAAAACTTACTGCCTGCTTTAACACTTGCCTGAATGCTTCAAACACGGCTCGGTTTCCCTGTTGAAGCGGGTGATCGGCACTTCGGGCATTCACCAAACCGACAGTACGTCATGGCCTGATCCTGAAGCTTTTTTGAGCCTCTGGACCGGTCGGATCTTCGGATCCCGGCTGTCCGTCAACTGAACACTGATTTTCCCAGATCGTACGATGATTGCCACTGTGTAGTCCTTCGAAGATCTAAGGCGATGCGGACGAGGTACGACTTCCTTCTTGGCATCGCTCGGTGCCCAAGGAGCTGTGCATTCAAAGAGCGAGCACTTCGGCTTGCAGCACTCCTACACAGCTGCTTGATGAGGTTCTTTTTGTTCGCACAAGCATGAACAATGCTTCAGCGCATGCCACCTGAAAGTTGTTTGGACATGTGCAGTGTTCTGTCCTCCTTGCTAACGCCAGGTGCTGTTGCATCCGCCAAAACATATCCATCGTCGCACTCGAAATCTGACCTCGGGAGCTTGCTGCTAAGGATTCGCTGGGCGGCTGCAACATCTTCAAGAACCATGATGGGCGTCTGGCCCGCACATCTTGTCGCAGCACACCTGCGGAGAGTCTCCAACGTTGCCCCAGTACGCCTGCATGTGTCCAAATATGCAAGCAGCCGAAAGTGCATCAAAGCTCCTACGACAAAATGCGTCTTGTCTGCCACAATCGAGATCTGTGTATCTCGAGATAGATACAGGGACCTCGTTGGAGCGGTAGACTCCGGTGCAACGGAAAAGCTCGCAGCTTTTCTCCTGTGTCAGGTAGAGTATGGTAGTCAACCAGATCACGTGGCCCAGAACACGATATCGTGAAATGAAACAGCCACAAATGCCGCTGCGCTTCAGAATCTGAGGCTTCGGCGCAGCAGTCTGCCACCGTCTTGCCGGTCAAGGTGTGGTGGTTGAGTTTTGGTCTCCACTGTCGGGGGCACCTGTTGTACCACAACGTACCATCGGGACAACATCAGAAGTGATTTTCGGAGTCCAGGTCCGGAAAACAAGGACCCGGCTGCAACCTGTCGCATGATTGCGCGGCAGCAACTTCGGAGAAGGCCTCCCAACCAACAGATGCGACCAGCAAGAAGACCCCCGCTCCCCATGTTCCACCTACCGGCAGGCAAGCTCACATTCACCGCTAGCCTCATCTAGCCTCACTACTGCCTCACTAGCCTGCTTTGCCACCCGTCCCAGTAGAGCTTCTTGGCGCTAGTGGCGATGCATGGTGATTGTGCCGTGTCTTTGCTGTCATTGTCGCTGCACTGCAGGTGGCAACTGCGAATGAGCACAACATGGAGTTCCGTGCCTGATATGCCTGTCATGCTGCTGCTGCTGCTGCTCGTGACGTGACTGTGTTGAAGTGGTTAGCCTTCCCGGTACCAGCGCTGCGAAGAGTCAGCTTCTTGGCTAAGGCAATGGTGAGCAGGGCGGCGCACTGGAGGAACTTCATTGCAATCCTTGGTGCAATCAGGCACAACCCAGGCCCGTGCCTTTACTCGAAGTGTCAGTGTCGCTGCAGCAGTTCAGTTCGTGGCCAACAAAGAGTACAGTCTTCCGGCGAAGGTGCTTTTCTGCTACTTACACCGGGTGGACTGTCCCTTCTGACGCAAAACGGCGGCAGCAAAGAACTGGGTCAACAACTTAGCCATGGCTGGGACTGCTGGCATAAGATGCCGACTTGAGGATTCTCCTTCCTTCCAGTTCTCCCTGACCCCGCTGAGCATGGGTCTCACTCCACGCAGAGCCAGTCAGGGCCTTGCCCAGGAGCATGAGGCAGAAGCGGGCGTAGTCCTGTCGACACGAGGAAGGGAAGGTGTGGCCATGCGCGGCCCCGGGTACCGCCAAGGCCGCTACGGCAGCCGTGCTGACCATGCCCCCGGTCATGGAATCCACGCTGCCACCGCCTGCGCATCGAAGCTCAGCCCAAATCCCCTCTCCAGAGTATTTGCACGCGGCCTGACAGAATTGGACTTGCATTGCCGACCATCCATCTCAGTAGAGGCGTTCACATTGTTCATGCGCAGCGCTTGGCACTACCATCACATGCCACATGATTGCGGCAACCCAGTCCTGAATCGATGCCGGCACTGCATGACAGACAAGCTGAAATTCGCTGCAGGAGAAACACTTGCGCTTTGTGCCTGAATCAGTGTTGCAGGATCTTCGGTCGGGCATCCTTCCCAGTCTGTAAGTACAAATCTCTTCTCTGTCTTTGTCTTCATTCTCCCAACAGTTGTGAGATTCTCCCGTCGTCCTGAGCAACTTGTGCCTTCGTGCCCTTTGAACGAAACTTTGTAGTCCCAGGCTGCAGGTCTGCTGCCTTCGACTACTTCAATGTGGGTGGTTCTCAAAATTAGGGCCAGGGTGCCTTTTAGGGTCATGTTCTTGGGGGCCTAGAAAAGGACCCTGGTTTGGAAAATACCCATGTGTGCATCGTTCAAGTTGGCACAACACTCGGTGCCACGGGAGGAGCCTTTGTTACTCGACGTGCCAAACTTCCGCTGCAGTAGCAGGCTGTGCTGTGAAGACAACCAGTGCAACAAGATGCAACAAGTAAGGTACGGATGGTATAAGGTTCACACTCGTTGCAGTCCACACTGGGTGCATCCTTGGCTTGCCCACTATGTTGCTATGTTCTGCAGAAAGGAAGTGAGCTGCTTCGAAGCGCAAGGTCTCAGATTCCCGCAATGCGCACCAGCTTCGGCTTCTGTCCGTCTTGCTCATGGAGCCGGTACCTTTGTCAGCTGCAGGCCACAGATCGCTTCAGCAAGGCAGGGGAAGCTCTGTTAAGGGATGGGCATTGCAGCAGTGCGGTGCCACCTGGCTCGAGGAGGCGGGAGGCAGAAGGCGAAGAGGGCCAAAGCGAGACAGAGAAATGGAAATGCAGCCATGCAGGTTTGCAGCCCTGGGCACTGTTCCAAAAGGCGATGGAGTATAATGAAGTGTTCTTGTCGGGCTGTGTGTGGCGATGCTGCTCCGGATGCGAATATTGACTTCTCGGCTGCCCTCTGCTTCCGGCCGGTTACCGACTCAAGAAAGAAGAGTTGGCATTGCTTGCAGCCCGGGCACTTGTCACGCGGGATCTGGAATCCGGAGTCCACCTCGGCATCTATCAGGAATCCAGGAGGCTCCTCTCGTTTAGCACCTTTGGCGCACCATCCCCAGAGGTTGCGTAATTCGCTCCTCGACGAAGATGTCGAGTCTTGTTCTGGTAACGACCTTCTCTTAGCAGCATTTGCGCAAGCCTAAGTCACGCACTCAGCTTATGTACGTCTCTGTCAACGACAAATACCGAAGGCATTTCCACCAACATGGCACGAACGTTAAGAAGGATGGACACTCGTGGGGCACGATTTTCCGTCGTCAGTATCGTAAAGCACGCTCGTTTCGAGACTACGTGGCAACGGCGTGATTCGAGACAACTGGGTGCAAGCAAGATTCCTCAGCTGGTCCATCAAAGTACTACAAGCACTTGCAGATACTAAACGGGTTGAGCCTGGCAGCCAGTGAGTCATTACATTCGCGGCTCCGAATGTCAACAGGCTACCTTTCGAGAATCTTCTAACATAACCGTGTCCACAAGCTAACCGGCTTGGTTCAAGCGCACCGTTTTTGTAGTCTTTACCATGTGCAGTCGTTCTGCGAATGCAAAATTAGGCGACCTGAATGCAGCGATGTGTTTCTTGTCCATTTCTGTTAGATCGCTGTCGCTTTTTCAGCCAGCAAGTCGCTACACATTTGTAAGTAAGCCATGCGGACTTGCCTTTTCAGCATGGTTTCCAAGGTGCTGATTCATTGTGGCAGTTCGTGATGTTGTTTCCACAGTACGGTACGTATACAGTTATTGGTTAAGTATGTCAGCTTCTGCCGTAGCTGTTCCCTGAGCAGCGAAACTCGTAGCGATGCAGGGTTCGCACTTTCAGTGCGAAGCGGATTAGATCGAGCGGCGCTCGCGGGCTTTTGACAGCTGCTCTATGGGAACTCGCTTACAGTCCCGTGTGAATTTTGGCTCTCAGATCACTCGAAATGTGCAGTCGCAGGCGAAAATTATTCGGGCTCTCGGTCTCTTCTGTCTGAGTCTGATCGCATCCTACCTGTTACGTGGGTACATGGCCTTGGTGTGCTCTTCCTGGGGTCTACAGGCTATCTTTTTGTAGCGTCATGCTTGGCATCCATCCAGGACATGCTCGCAAAGCTAAGCTTTGCACAAGAAGAACCCGCAAGCCCTATTTGCTGCAAGCATCGGCGGATTCGGCAGGCGGCGGTATACAGGTTGGTCTCATCTTGCCAGCCTTCAAACGCCGGGCATGTGAGATCACCTGCCACCCCACCGATTTGGGCGGAGTGGGCGGGTGCGAAAACTTACATGTTTGAGCAACACACAGGCTGCAACTCGGCAAAGCATGCATGCTCGCAACATGTCATTCAGTGCACCAGTGCACACCACCACAACCCGAAACTGCACCTTGGTGGTCTCCATCACTCCAGCTGCAGCAATGTCCCAAAGGCTTTCACGGGGAGATGAAATTTCTTCATGGTCTTTGGCTTTTCCCTTGTGTGTACGGACTTGGAGCCCGAGGTTTTTAGCTGTGATGAGCCTCCAAAGAGAGCCCGAGCATTTGCGAAATGCTGAAGGCCGGTAACTTTTCGCACAACTGTTGGTCTAAAGGATCCCAAAGTACGGGGCAATACTGGGCACGAGCATTTGGCACGACATCCCGCCAACAAGAGCAACAAGAAAGTATGATGTCAGAAATCTCAGAATTCTCACAACAGAGCGCAGCGCAGTTGGCGCTGGTACCGGCGCAGCTCGCCTACTGTAACGAGACCTGCGGAACAACGGGACCTCGATGATTCTTCCGAGGACATCGTGGCTGTAGGAATACAACCACCTGAGTTGCCGGCCGTGAGAACTGGACGGGACCCGGCCCGGCAGCTTTGGACTCTGAGGAGTGGGCTCGGTGCCCGGCTGGTGCAGAAGTGGAATTCTGGCCAACTCTTCGCACCAATGCTGCAGGGACTTCACCTCAAGGACCGCAACACAGCCCTCTTTGCGACACGTCGAGCCGACACCAAAGTCCGGGGCTGCACGAGCATCTCCGGGGCTGGTTCTTCCTAGACCGGCGCGCTCGATCAGCGGGAGGAAGCGCTCCTGCACGTGTCGGCACACAAGCAGCACACGGCTTAAAGATGGTCTGCGATGGGCTCCATTCTGGCATCCATGGGCCTCCGCTTCACAACCAGGCTCATCGCCCAGCATGGGGCCTGCTCAGTCAAAGTCCACAGACATGACTGCCCGACCGATCCGCTGGCATAGATGACAAAACCCACCGCGCCATAGCCAATGCCAGAAGTGTGCGTCAAAAGATGCAAGACCTGGCTCTACACTCCACAAGGTGCTGTACGATGTGCCGCATGGGCTGCAGGGGATGTCCATCAATGCTGCACAATGACGAAGAAGATTTACTCAGGAGACTGCCGTCAAAGGTTTGTCCACTGCGGCGGTTTGGGCCAAACCGTCCTGCAATCACTGAGGACGATGGAGAACCTACTCCATTGAATCCAAGACCACTTCGATTACCAGAACTGTTGATTTTGCACTCGCGGGATTTGAGCATATTTGACCCGATTGCACAAGCAGCCGAGCCCTCTGGCGCTCCTCCGACTTGATTTTTGCAGCCGCAAATGCAGGAATGAACCTTCAAGGCAGTCCAAAGAAGCCCGAGTACCCAAAATCAAATCCACAAGAACTTCTCGGATTGCAGGGACGGCGCTTGCACACGGGATCGGTAAGCTGCAGCAGACCCTCCTGGACAATGCAAATGTTCTGGCAGCCGAACTCTGCGACTAGTCGCGCAAGCGGCAGCCTCTATGCAAATGCCCAGTGCCTTCGCTGCAAGGCTTGACCCGGCAGCACGGATCAAGAAGCTGTCGGAACTACTGCACACATGCCTTATAAGTCCCCAGTTGCAACAGATATGATGGACTTCGTCATGGAATAGAGGCGGACAATCGTGTCTGGCCGCATAGGCACCTGCCGAAAGAAGATGTAACAAGACTGCACAAGGTGTACGCACCGAAACCTCAATGCCTGGCGTTCCAGGTCGGCGTAGCCGTATGAGTCCATGTGTGCCAAGATACCGCGCCTCGAGACATGTATTTTCGCGCTTCAAATTAGCGGAACCTGATGCCACTCATACTGAACCAGCCCGGCCCACCTCAGGACAACACCTGACAAAATCAGAACAATGTGCAACCCCGATGCAATGGGCATCAGCGCAGGACAAGAGGTGCGTCCGGGGAGGCGCTGACGGCGGAGTGATGCAACAGGACGACATGTTGCGGGCTGCAATGGAAAACTAATTTGTTTTGTGTATCTATATTTGTGAACCTGAAGCTGAATCCCGTTGGTGAGCCTGGCCAAGAACTGCAGCTTGAAGACACACACATGGCTGCTGCCGAGAATCTGATCACTCCTGGAGCTTCCCCACTGTCTACCTTTCGCTTCATCTCTGCGACATGTCACTGTGAATCATTACAGTAGTTGCATCTGTTCGAGAAAGAGCCTTGCGGTGCAGGGACACGTCGGTGTCTCTCATGACCTGCGCTACTCGCAGAGTGATGCAACATGGTGCAACCGTTCCGCCAAAGAACAAAGGCGCCTGTGGATGCAAGCCAGCCAGTTTCGGGTAGCACTTGGAATTCGATGCAATTGTGCCCCTCTTGACCTCCAAGCTCATGGGCGAGCTTGACCCGCATCTCGAGGTGCTGTGAGAACCAGTGCCTTGGATCCTGTCTTCTCCACTGCAGCCTCGGGGCCGCGGTCTCACACTTGCCAAAGCTTGCAAGGCCTGCACCTTCAGGGAGCAAGCACGCAAAGGCGTAGCAACCTGTCTCACCTGCCATCAGATACTGTTGCACCACTTCAGACACTCAAATCAAGCGGAGCACGACTTGACCATGCATCCGGAAACCGCCGACCGCCGTCGCAGCGTTCCGTTAGCAACTGTACGAAGTGCTGGCAGGAAGTTCGTGCACGAAGCATGCGGGCATTGGCACGCGTCTCACTGTGCCGCAAAGCGATTGCAAAGTTTCGCTGGTGCAGTCGGCAAAGCCCTCCAGGACTCCTCTGATTGGTGTTAGCTCGGCCTTTTGAGCTGCCCTTTCAAGGTTGGCCGTAGGGTGTGCAGTGAGCGCAGTGGCCTGTGCGGAACTCGGAGGCGGCAAAGTCTTCAGGCCGTGCCAACCGCATGGACGGGACCAGGAGTTCATGGACGCGAAATGACGAAAAAGAGAAAGGAGGCCTCACATGGCCCCACATAGCGACCAGACGTTGCTGCTTGCTTTTGCTAAAACGGATGTCCGTTCTTAAGGGATGACCGCAGCACGGCGTGCTCTAAGAGTACAGCCGGTAACCATGGCCAGTCGCCTTGGACCGGCACTGGGAGGCCGCAGTCCTTCCGTCACAATGCGACCCACAACTGCCACTGAGAAATGCACAACATTGCAAAACACTGTACAATCCCACAACGCAGCATCTCGTGATGCTTGGGCATCCAGCATGCGTGACATTTTCGAAAGCGCCTGCCCGGAACGGAGGGGACGAACGGGAAATCCGGACGAAAGCGCTGGCCCAGCCTCCGACGGACAAGGTCGCAGCTTGACCTTCTGAGAGGCTTTTGATGCAGTCCAAACCTCAGAGCCGTCATGCGCCTCTCTCAAACAAAGGAGGAACTTACTTCACGAATTATGTGTCGGAAATGCCCGACGTGACAACGACAAAGCCTGGAAATACAATCGACACGAAATCCAGAGAAATGAACAAAGTCAAACGCAACATATGCAGGCGGAAACGACAACCGACTCAAAATTTGTCTTGTAAAATGTGCCCAAGCGACGTTGCACACTGATGCACAGTGCAGTACGCGTCAACACAACCACCCACCCCCGAGCAAGCTGTCGTAACATTACTTTCGGAATTGGCAGGGAAAGCGTGGAGGCCCAAAAGGAAGCTGGGCCGCCGACAGTACAACGCCTAACCACAACCAGCTGCGACAGTCGGGTCAACTCTCGATACGCCACCCGGCCTTGCCTTGCCGCATCTTGCAGCTCTAGGAGGCAACACAACAAATACACCTGGACTGCGCAATTTCTGCAAGGAGCTCTGGATCGCACTCGTTTCGTCTCAAGGTATCGTGCCAGCCTGTGAAGGACTTCTGAAAACTTACGTGCACAAAGCTGCATGCAGCACCTGCCTAATGGGACATGGCGTTCTCGTCACCTCGGCCGAATTCAGCGGAACCTCGCCGTCTGCCATCACATGCAGCACACAAGTGAATTATGGCCCTATGCCCCCTCATGTCAGAGCTTAATCACCGGCCTTATTCTGTGCTGACACCCGTGTCACCCGTGCAATTCGGACACGTTGTAACACACTGATGCATTCAGATGGTTCTCCAAGCAGGTGTGTTCCACACCTGCTCGGCAGCACGGAAACTGCTTAAATGGCTGCTGGATGCACTACAATGAATGGTATTGGCAGGACGGGAACGGAATTCCTGTCAAAACATGCTAGAGCGCTGACGAGCTCTCCAATCGGCGATGCAGAAAGCATCGGACGCGTTGAAGTGCATCAGGCGTGCATTTTGCATCTGCTCCAAGTTTCAGTTGGACTGGCAGCCAGGCGTCCAGGAACATCGGAGATCATCGGAGGATATCAGGAGCTGCGGCCGTCTGACCGTCAGAGTTCTTCCTTCTTTGTCAGCAGGACCTCTGCAGGAAGGTTGCTGCCGAGCGCATCTGCGACCAATAAGACAAGAAGGATATTCGGGGCCTTTCTGGAGGCTTTCGCCTTTTTCACAGAGCCTGTGACAAGGCTTGAGATGAATCGGTTCGGAAGACATGGAAGACTCGCTCTTGCAGTCAGTCACTCTTGCTGATCTTTCAAACTTGCCTTTTTGATCCGTTCGAGTGGCCACCTGCTGGACCAAGGACCTTGGGCTCTCAGCGGTCCCATGACATGCGCCGTGGCAGGAGTGCTGTCTCTGCAACTTGAGGGCATGGCACAGTGGAGCCCTGTGACATCACCCAGAGTGAACGAAGGTGAAAAGCTACAGGCCTCTACAGCACTGCTACAGCGCGCTCTGGCTCTGGCCTCGGTGGACTCAAATCCATCGGCCGCAGCTGCTTCCAAGGGCGACGGCGGCGACGTAGCCGCTCGGCTCAGCGAGCCCCCTCCGCTTAAGTCGGGAATGCTTCCTGTCCTGGCACAACGACAGGGTCTTGCAATATCTCGCGATCTCATACTGTCGGCATTTTTCGACACATGCCGCAGACACTCTCGATGATGCAGTTTTGCTGTTGCCTTCCGGCAGCTGCGATGTTTCGTCAATTTACCGTCGGACAAATCTTTGGATGCACTCTGGCCTGAAGCAGGTTCAGGGCAGCACCGTCGGAGCCACGATCTCGCAAAGTGCAAGATAACGACAACGCCAAACAAACCATCGAAAGTGCCTTCAGCGGCCAACTCGGCAAAGAAGGCGTCCTCTAGGTCCAAGAAGGCGTCCACAGGCTGGGCAACATCCGCATGGCGACGCACTCGTTGGTTGCAGTGCCTACGACTAATCCTCGTCCCATGCAACGACGCCAGCCAGGATCATATGTAGCAGTGTGATCACAGCCTGCATGACACAAATATTCGATGCACTTCGAGCTAAAGTCAACCCGTTCAGCACGACAAACACACACACACACACACACACCCACGCACACACACACACACACACACACACACACACACACACACACACACACACACACACACACACACACACATCTGGAAAATCCTCTGCCGGAGTAGCCAGCGATTTGTGACAGCCCTATAATGCAGGCACGTCTCTGAGTGTCCCCAGTGCTATCTTCGCCGTGTACAGACCAACTGCTAGCAAAGCAGCCTGTATGGGTGCCTCTGCCCCCTGCACATTTCCCTTGGTTATCAGGGTTTGGCACACACAGGTACTCCCTTTGGAAGCACCCAGCCACATGTGCACCATGACGGCTAGAGGGTCACAGCCACAGCCACGGCATGATCCCTTTAAAAACATCCTCTAGGGTAAAGGTCCCGCCCCATATGTTGAGGCTTGGGTCCAGGGTTTGGGTCGCAACCAAGAAACCAACCAAGAAGGATCGCAGCGGATGTAGTTCATTATGCAGCCAAAAAATAAGGAAAACAGAAATAAACATCTGCAAACAAATTGGAATATCGTGCATTCAAGCGGCTACGCCTGGCCTTTTGACAAAATATGCTGGTCGAGAACACACCTGGAAACTCCTTTTGAAGAGGAGCTAGCGATTAGCTACAGTCCTATAATGCAGGTACGTGAAATCACTGAGCGTCCCAAATGCTAGTCTGTATGGGTGCCGCTGCCCCTGCACTTCTCCCTTTGATATCAGGGTTTGACACACACACACACACAAGTGCTCCCACAATGAGCACCATGACGGTTCAGGCATAATGCCCTTACAAGCCATCCTCTGGGGTAAAGGTCCCGCCTCTTTTGTTGGAGCTTGTGTCCTGGCCTCTGGTCGCAATCAAGAAACCAATGAAGAAGGATCGCAGCGGATGTAGTTCAAGCTGATCTGCAGCTAAGAATCCAGGAAAACAGAAATCCGTTGATGTGAAGAAAGGGTTCAAGCTTCTGCAGACAAATTTGAATATCCAGGAAGGTCGCGGAACCGAACCGGAACCGAACCGCTCTGAAATGGAACCGAAGCGAAGGATCCGGGGACTGCATGGAACCGCAAAGAACCGCGCTGAACCGGAAACGTTCGAACCGGAGCCACGCGCAAACCGGAAACGCTCGAACCGGAACCGAGGGCAACTTGTAGGTCTTAATTTTCGTTTGGGCGTTTGGTTTGGGGCGTGCTTTCCTAGCCACCTGCCTCCTGCAGCCACCTGCCTCCCGCCAACCTCCCTCCAACCACACATCCTATAGCCTAAATAAACCCTGGACAGGTCCAAGCGAGCGTGTGCCTCCAACGGAAAGACCAAATGTGCCTGGTTTTCGAGCCTTTGGGGCCCCGCCCCACCCGAAAACCAGGCACATTTGCTGCTCCCCTCCCTGCACCCCAGCAACGGAGGCCGGTGGGATTTGCTCCTTGCCTTTCTGCACCCCGCAATAGAGATAGCAAATGTGCCAGATTTTTGGGTTTTTCGGGCCGCGGAGGCCCGGAAACCAGGCACTCCTTCCCTCCCGAACCGCAAAAACTAAGAAACATTAACCAGTTAAGCACCGCGAAACGCACAGAACGGAACCGCAGTTGAACCTAGCCGCACAGAAACGCTCCTTTTAAGAACAGAAGCGAACCAAATGGAACCGACTACTTCCTGAATATCGTGCATTCAAGCGGCTACGCCCGGCTTTTGACAGAATATGCCCGTCGAGAACACACCGGCAAACTCATGTTGAGGAGTAGCTAGCGATTGGTTGCAGTCCTGTAACCGAGGTATGTCACTGTGCGTCCCCGGCGGTGTCCTCACCGCATACAGACCAACTTTGTTAGACGAGCAGTCCAGATGGGTGCGGCTGCCCTCTGCACTTCTCCACTGGTTCTCAGGGTATGACACACACACACACACACTAACAAAAAAAACACTTGCGTGTCGGCCCCGCCTTTGAAGACCATGCCATCATATGCTTCAGCTTTTCGCGAGGAGAGGAAGGCCTCTACGTAGGACACTTTCAGCGATTTGTCGCAACAAAATTGCCCAATTCTCGACATATTGCAAGCCTGTTGAATCTTATCCGGACAAGCACTGGACGCAGATGAGACCACGGTGATAAATGCCGGCAAAGGACGCTCGGGGTCTGGGTTCCCCCGCGGCTGAGACCAAGCAGCCAAAAGCGCTTCGAGTGCCGGGTGTGCAGGCACCAAAAGGAAAACACAACAACTGCCCAATGCACAGCCATGAATGCAAACGCACACCGGCTTGAGTGGCACTGTTGTCTTTGGCTCCACAACCGTCACCCACTCCGACGCGCGATGACGTAGTTGGTATAGGGTGAGGGTTCCGCATTCCTTTGTCAGGCAAATGCATGCCTTCACGGAGCAAAGCACTCCGATGCAAGATTGAATGAGTTGTGCAAAGAATTCCCGTCTCTCTGCCGATGAGACACCACTCATCTGGAGGTGGTATGTTGATTTCCTGGCCATTCGTGTTGACATGTGTTGACATACCACTGAAAGAAGCGCCCAAATTCCCACGGACTTTCTGGCTGCACATGCCAATGGCCTCAAAGCCAGCGAGCTTCAGCAGTTTCACTTGTGCTATTGTGTCTCGAGGATCTGTTGCCTGAAACTGCGCAGCGACTGCGAAGAGTGCTGCCACTGATTAAGAACTAATCTGACCCGTCGGCGATCACTGTGTGCGGGACCAGAAGGACGCGTCTGGTTGATGCTAGTGTCCTCGCAGCGCTCCTGGAAAAATGAATGTCACATCTAAGTCACATGTGACAGGGAACCTTGCAGGAAAAAATCCAAAAGTGAAGGCCCTTCAAACCCTCCCCGTCCGTAACAAGTCCACCGAAGAGAAGGACAACTTCAGAATGTCGATTTCATGGAAGCCAAGACGGCTTACTTCGTCATCAACAGATCGGGCAAGAGGATCACTCGCGGCACTCTCACCCTGAGCCTGTCGGGAAGCAGACACTGAAGCAAAACGTGCAGCATCAAGCTTTGCATTTATTTGCAGCACCTCTCTGAACCAACATCTGCGGTCGTTGGAGAGATGCACGTTGTTCTCCTCAGTGCTTCGGGATCCAAGACTCAACCCTTATACGCCTCTATGTGGGGCTTCCACTATATTGTCATCGGTTTGCAAATCGTTGTGGTCTCTGCAGTACCACTCCACCGACTGGGGTGAAGTGGTGATGCGCCGTTGTAGGACTTGCACCTGCATTGCATATGCTTCGTTGGGTGTTGACATTCGTCTGATGCGACCTGCCCCTCGAAGCCGTTCAATTTGATGGAACGCCTTCCAGCCATGACTGCCAAGTCATCTGCCTTCAAAGTTGGAACGACAATGATTCGGCTTGGCATTGAGCAGTCAGCCTCGAGGCAGGCTGCAGTGAGCCGGCCACCCAGGCGATGTCCAGCCCAGAGCAGGCAGTCAGGCAGCCAGCAGGCCACCTCATGTCGCCGCGAACCAGGTTTTGGCTTTGGCAAATCTGCTGAATCTGTCTCTGAGCGCCAAGTGCCTCCACAACTGTCATTCGTGCTGAAGGCCTCTGGCCTGACACATGAAATCATCCAGAAATA